ATACTACTACGGATGCTACTACTACTACTACTACTACTACTACTACTACTACTACTACTACTACTACTACTACTACTACTACTACTACTACTACTACTAGTACTACTACTACTACTACTACTACTACTACTACTACTACTACTACTACTACTACTACTACTACTACTACTACTACTACTACTACTACTACTACTACTACTACTACTACTACTACTACTACTACTACTACTACTACTACTACTACTACTACTACTACTACTACTACTACTACTACTACTACTACTACTACTACTACTACTACTACTACTACTACTACTACTACTACTACTACTACTACTACTACTACTACTACTACTACTACTACTACTACTACTACTACTACTACTACTACTACTACTACTACTACTACTACTACTACTACTACTACTACTACTACTACTACTACTACTACTACTACTACTACTACTACTACTACTACTACTACTACTACTACCACTACTACCACTACTACCACCACCACCACTGCTATTACTACTAGATTGTCCGTTCCAGACGGCTCCAAGATGGCCCAAGATGGCCTCCAAGACGCCTCCAAGACGGCCAAGATGGCCTCCAAGACGGCTAAGATGGCCGCAAGATGCCTCCAAGACGGCCCAAGATCCACCCAAGACGGCCTAAGATGGCCTCAAGATGGCCCAAAACGGCCCAAGAGGCTCCCATAGAGGCCTCCAAGACGGCCCAAGAGGCCTCCAAGAGGTCCTCCATGAAGGCCCGAAGAGGCCAAAATCATTGATTTCCCTTTGATTTTTGAAGGATTTTGGGGTTTGCGCCTGTTCGGCTTTCCGACGGCCCAAGACGGCCCAAGAGGCCCCCAAGGTCGCCCCAGGATCGCCCAAGAGGCCTCGAAGATGGCCCCATGATGGCCCAAGCGGTCCCCAAGACGGCCCCAAGAGGGCCCCAAGACGGGCCAAGAGGTCTCCAAGACGCCCAAGATGGCCTCTAAGACGGCCCCGAAGCGCCCCAAGAGGGCCCCAGGTCGGCCCAGAGAGGCCCCCAAGACGGCTCCCGACGGCATCAGACGTGCCAGGAGCCCACCAAGACGGCCGAAGATGGCCTTAAGATGGCCCAAGACGGCCCAAGAGGCATACAAGAGGGCCTCCTGGAAGGCCCGAAGAGGCCAAAATCATGGATGTCCCCAGAGTGTTTGAAGGATTGTGGCATTTGCTTTTGTTCGGCCTTCTGACGGCCCGAGACGGCCCAGGTACCCTCAAAGATCGCCCAAGACGGCCCCAAGAAGGCCCCCAAGACGGCCCAAGAGGCCTCCAAAACGCTCAAGATGGCCTCCAAGACGGCCCAAGAGCCCTCCAAGACGTCCTCCAAGAAGGCCCGAAAAGGTCAAAATGGCATCCAGACGGCCAAGATGACCTTCAAGATACCAACGTGTTCCCCGAAGGCTTTCCAAACCGATTCGGGGAACACATGGTCCGATAGCTTGGCAGGTCTGGCCTCAACCTTCGGCCACATAGCCGATTCCAAAAAGGCCAGGGGGCGGCGGTGATTCGCTGTAGGCGTCTTCGATCCGCCGCCCCCTGTTGATTCATCACAGGGGTGCCTGGCGTGCTGGATCCTTTCGGTTTTGGTTTCGGCTCTTTTTCCAAAAGAACTCCCCCTGGGGCGTCGGCCCGTCCCGCCAGCTGCCTGTCTCGTCGGCTTCTTCGCTCAAGATGGCCCAAGATGGCCTCCAAGATGCCTCCAAGACGGCCAAGATGGCCTCCAAGACAGCTAAGATGGCCTCAAGATGCCTCCAAGACGGCCCAAGATGCACCCAAGACGGCCTAAGATAGCCTCAAGATGGCCCAAGACGGCCCAAGAGGCCCCCATAGAGGCCTCCAAGAGGCCTCCAAGACGGCCCAAGAGGCCTCCAAGAGGTCCTCCAGGAAGGCCCGAAGAGGCCAAAATCATTGATTCTCCTTTGGTTTTTGAAGGATGTTGGGGTTTGCGCCTGTTCGGCTTTCCGACGGCCCAAGACGGTCCAAGAGGCCCCCAAGGTCGCCCCAGGATCGCCCAAGAGGCCTCCAAGATGGCCCCGTGACGGCCCAAGAGGCCCCAAAGACAGCCCCAAGAGGGCCCCAAGACGGCCCAAGAGGCCTCCAACACGCCTTCGATCGCCTCGAAGACGGCCAAGATGGCCCAAGATGGCCTCCAAGATGCCTCGAAGACGGACAGGATGGCCTCCAAAACGGCTAAGATGCACCCAAGATGCCTCTAAGACGACCCAAGATGCACCCAAGACGGCCTTAGATGGGCCCAAGAGGCCCCCAAGAGACCTCCAAGAAGGCCCAAGAGGCCACCAAGAGGTCCTCCAGGAAGGCCCGTTTTCATTAGTGTTTCAAAGATGTTGGCATTTGCGCCTTCTCGGCCGTCCGATGGCCCGAGACGGCCCAAGAGGCCCTCAAGGTCGCCCGGAGATCGCCTAAGCGGCATCCAAGATGGCCCCGTGACGGCCCAAGAGGCCCCAAAGACGGCCCCAAGAGGACCCCAAGACGGCCCAAGAGGCCTCCAAGACGCCCAAGATGGCCTCCAAGACGGCCCCGAAGCGCCCCAAGAGGGCCCCAAGTCGGTTCAGAGAGGCCCCTCAGACTGTTTCCGACAGCGTTAGACAGGTCAGTAACGCCCTAAGGCGGCCAAAGAGGCCCCCAAGAAACCCCCAAAGGCCCCCAAGAGGCCCCCAAGAGACCCAGGGAGGCTCCCAAGAGGCCTCCACGAGGCTCCCGAGAAGCTTCGCAGGGGCCTCCCAAGAGGCCTCCCAAGAGGCCTCCCAAGACGTTCCCAAGAAGTCACCTCCTCATACTCCTCCTCTTCCAGTCTCCTCCTCCTCCTCCTCCTCCTCCTCCTCCTCCTCCTCCTTCTCATCCTCCTCCTCCCCCTCCTCCCCCTCCTCCTCATCCTGATCATCATCAATCATCATCATCATCATCATCATCATCATCATCATCATCATCATCATCATCATCATCATCATCATCATCATCATCATCATCATCATCATCATCATCATCATCATCATCATCATCATCATCATCATCATCATCATCATCATCATCATCATCAGCATCATCATCATCATCATCACCACCACCACCACCACCACCACCATCATCATCATCATCATCATCATCCCTCTCCTGATCCTCCTCCTCTTGCTCCCCCACGCGTTCCCCGAAGGCTTTCCAAACCGACTCGGGGAACAACTGGCTCGATAGCTTGGCCATGCTCTAGTCCAGCTGTCGGCCACATAGGCGCTTCCAAAAGGGCAGGGGGCGGCGGTGATTCGCCGTAGGCGTCTTCGATCCGCCGCTGGCTTGCCACAGTGGTGCCCGGCGTGCTGAATCCTTTCGCTTTGGGTTTTGGTTCTTCTTCAACAAGAACCCCCCCTGGGGCTTCGGCCGATCCCGCCGGCCACCCGGAAGGGCGCGTAGGGATGCATAACAGGCGGTTGCAAGGGTTTTTCGGCTCCAGACGGCTCCAAGATGGCCTCCAAGATGGCCAAGATGTCCCAAGATGGCCTCCAAATTCGCCCAAGATGGTCCAAGATGGCCTCGAAGACGGCCCAAGAGAGTCCAGGATGCCTCCAAGTTCGCACAAGAAACACCTAAGACGGCCTAAGACGGCCCCAGAGGCCTCCAAGAGGCCTCCAAGACGGCCCAAGAGGCCTCGAAGAGGTCCTCCAGGGTCCTCAAGGACTGCCCGAAGAGGTCAAAATCATTGATTTGTTCGCAGGTTTCTGAAGGATTTTGGCTTGTGCTCCTTTTCGGATTCCGACGGCCCAAGACTGCCCAAGAGGCCATCCTGATCGCCCCAAGTGCCCAAGAAGCCTCCAAGACGGTTCCCCTCCTCCTCCTCCTCCTCCTCCTCCTCCTCCTCCCCGCCATCCTCCCCAAAGTGTTCCTCGAAGGGTTTCTGCAACGGCTGGGGGGACACATGGTCCGATAGCTTGGCAGAGCTCTTGCCACAACGCTCGGCCACATCGGCGATTCTGCAAGGCAGGGGGCGGCGGTGATTCGCCGTAGGCGTCTTCGATCCGCTGCCCCCTGTTGGCTTGCCACAGGGCTGCCTGGCGTGCTGGACCCCACCTTGACGTTCCCCCCGATGTCCCCTCCTGGGGCCCATGCTGGCCGAGCTCTCCCGGCCAGCGCCATAGCGCGGCGACGAGAACCTCGAGAAACGCCCACCGACCTCCGACATGTCATCGTCGTCGCCGTCGTCGCCGTCGTCGCCGTCGTCGTCGCCGCCAGGAGGGCACTCCGAGCGTGGCGCCCTCCGCCGCGTCCGCTGGGTCCCCCTCGACCGCGGCGGAGCAGAGCGGGCAGTGCCTCCGCTGCGGCCGCCCCCCGCCGCCGCCGTCGCCCTCGCCGACGCCGCCGTCGCTCTCGCCGCCGCCGCCGCCGCCGTCGTCATCGGCACCGTCGCACTGGTCCCAAGCAGGGCCCCCAGCTGGGGCTCAGGAACGGCATGCACGCTAGGAGGAAGGCAGACACACCCTTCATTGGCGCATGATCGGACCGGCCAGGATCAGTGCAGGCGTAGGGTTGACGCCCTCCGAGTGGGGGGTACTCCGCCGACAAAGGTAAGGTTCCTCGCGACGGAAGCGGATTTGGGGTTGTCAGCAGGCGTGGCGTCCCCCCGCCCTTCCTATGGAACCCGAAGCAGGGCCGCCTCGGCTCCGTTGGTGGCACCGCCCTGGAAAGCACGGTGGTCGCAAGCGCCCACCGCGGTTGACGCTCGAAGCCGAAGCCGTCAGCGGACAAAACAGAAGCGAGTCCAAGGAGGGTCCCAATGACACCGCTGGCTTAGTCCACCTACCATGTCCTGCCTGTGGTGAGACGAAACATCAGATCGACTGGGCTGGCGGCCCCGTCCAGAACCACAGCGCCGTCTGGGGCCCCCAATGGGGACCACCAGGTGGGAGAGCAGTACTCTCAAAGACAAATTTGGTATTATTGAAACCGCCCTGCCTGGCGGCGCAAAAATCGGGAATGGACAGAACCCCCTTTACTAAAACGTGGTTTAGTGAAAACGACCTCGGGCCTAAACCTGGCGGGCGCGAGCCCGGAAAATGACGGCCGCGGCGCCCATTCAAGAACCGAAAACAGACAATTCACGAAGCGACGTGTCATGGTGGGGGTTCTGTCCACCCCCGACAAAAAAAAAAACGCAGCCCCAGCCAATCACCGAGGCTTGGGGGCTCACACAGCGTGCGACCCCGCGGCAAAAGTTGGACAGAAGAGGGAGGGGGGGGGGAGGAGGAAGGACCAGGAGGAAGATCGAGGAGCCAAGCATTGGCGCGATCTTCGGGCCCTCTTGAGCGTAATGTGCGGAATACAGTGGCACCTCGGGACCTCGGGGGCGTTCTCCCACGCAGGCGCACCGTCCCTGATCCACTGCTCCCCGCCCCCTCTGCCCCGTGTCCTTCCTCCCCCGGGTTCCTTTCTGTTCCGTGCCTTCAACTTCTGGGGGGGGGGGGGCCTGGAAAAGTCTCCACGAATGGCCTCGTGGCAGAGTCGCCCAGGTTGGCCGAGACAGGCCCAGGCGGCCTCCCCACGCGCACAAGGGCCCCATGGTGGGCCCGACGGGGTCCGAAGAGGCGGCCGACAGGCACCCGCTGGCGCCACGAGCCCCCGAGAAGGCTCGGACGCTCCCAGACGGCCACATGTCATGGGCTCCAAAAGGACACCACGAATTGTAGGGGGCCACATGTGAACCCTACCCCTACCCCCCACGATTTTTGAGGGGAGGGTGGGGTTCACTTCGCTCGGGAGCTCCCGAACGAAGTGAACCCCACCCTGCCCCTCGGAAATCGTGGGGGTAGGGGTAGGGTTCACATGTGGCCCCCTTATCACGGCGGAAGGGCGGTCCAAGAGTAGCCGAAGGTGCCTGCGGCGCCAGCAACAAAACGGTGAGCCCAAGAAAACAGCACCAGCAACAGCAGCAGCCGCAAGAATACCTTCAGATGGTTCCATGAGTCCTCGTCCGCGTCGTCCTCATCCCAGTCCTCGTCCTCCTCGTCCTCGTCCTCCTCGTCCTCGTCCTCGTCCTCATCCGCGTTTTCGTCCTCCTTTTCCTCCTCGTCGTCATCCTCCTCCTGCTACTCCTCCTCCTCCTCTTCCCCTCGCCCCCACTCGGCCCCCAGGGATGGCCCGAAGAGGCCTTCCAAAGCCACCCCCTTGCTCCCAGAGATCTCTCGGTTCACCCTGGTTGTTCGCTTCGTTTCCCTCGATGTGTATTTTCGTCCCTATCCACGTTAGCTCTCACGGGCAGGGTTTCTGAATGGGCTGGTGGGGATACGCGACGCGGGGATACTTCTTATCTACACACAACAACAGCAACAACGAACAACAGCAACTACAACAGCAACAACAACAACACCAGCAGCAGCAACAACAACAACCACCACAACAACCACAACAACAACAGCAGCAGCAGCAACAACAAAAAAAACATCATCGACCACAACAACAACCACAACAACAACCACAATAGTAAACAACAACAACAACAACAACAACAACAACAACAACAACAACAACAACAACAACAACAACAACAACAACAACAACGACAACAGCAACCATCACAACAACACCAAATATAAGACTGTTCGCTCTTACTTGCCCGCGTGTCATTCAAAATGAGTTCCCCACACCCTCGATACCCGACCTTTTTGTTTTCGAACACACCCCCTTTGGGGGGGTTATTTCTCTTTGCGGGGGGCGGCGGGCTTAGACAGGCGGGCAAACCTGAACGGGCGGGCAATCCTTCGTGGGCGTACATGTGCCCGCCATTGGAATTGGTGTGGTCCCTGCAGAAAGAGGAGGGGGAGAACGAGATAGAGTGGGAGGAAGGGAGGGGGGGGACGAAGGAAGAGGGAGAACGCCAGGAGAGAAGGAGCGAAGAGGGGGGCAGTTGAATAGCGGCAGAGAGAGAGAGAGAGAGAAAAAAAAAAAAAAAAAAAAAAAAAAAAAAAAAAAGAGAGAGGGGGGGAGATAGAGAGATAGAGAGAGATTTAAAAAAAGAGGGAGAGAGGAGGCAGGAGAGGGGAGGGAGAAGGGAAGAGGGAGAGGAGGGAGGGGGGATAGGGCAGAGAGGCATAAGGATGAGGGAAGAGAGGAGGGAGAGAGAAGGGAGGAGAGGAGGAAGGAGGGAGGAGGGAATGGGAGGAGGAGCAGGAAGGTAAGAGCGTGAACGTTCGAGGAAATCCTAGGCGAAAGCGCCGTTCCTGAAGAAAGTCTCGGGCGGGCGATCCACTGACGGGCGGGTCGGGCGGGTGGAACATTCAAGCGGGATGCCTGAGTATGGCGAGAGCGCGACTACTAAGTAAATTGTAGCGGCGTCCTTGGCGCAGCATGTTTCCTGAGCGTCGAAAGCGCGATTTCTGAATAATTCGCATGGAAATCACAAGCGAGAGCGCAATTCCTGAATAAAATGTGAAGGGTTCTCTGGCGGGAGCGGGGGTCTTGATTAAATTGCGAGGAAGTCTTGATTCAATTGCGAGGAAGTCTCAAGCGGGAGCACCGTTCCTGAGTAAATTGTGAGGAAGGCTCAAAATGGGGGCGGGGATCCTGACAAAATTGCGAGGAAGTCACAGGCGGGAGCACCGATCCTGAGTAAATTGTGTGGAGGTCTCAGGAGCGGGGGTCCTGAGTAAATTTGGAGGAAATCTCAGGCGGAAGCCGTTGTTGTTGTAATCCAGGGGGCCAGGGGGCCATTTTGAGCACCAAGACCTTCCCAGTCAAAAAACAGGGTGCGAGCGTCGAGGGCACACTTTGATCGAGCAAAAAACAATATGCACTGGTGAGGGGGATCAACAAAAATTGCTCTTCAGAAATGAAAATTCAGCAACAACAACAACAACAACAACAACAGCAGCAACAGCAACAGCAACAGCAACAACGACAACGACAACCACAACAACAACAACAACAACAACAACAACAACAACAACAACAACGACAACAACAACAACAGCAACAACAACAACAACAGCAACAACAACAACAACAACAACAATTACTAGCACGTGGGGACACACCGTTCTCACCAGTGCCAGGGTTTTCATAGGAGGCGGGCAATACCCCCACTTTGTGGGGGGGCCGGTTCAAGCTCTACCAAATTTCCAAACGACTCTTCGCCACCACCCACACCCAGCTTCCCGCCCTATGACGTTCGGACACTTCACTTCGTGGCATGCGGACGACCGTGGCTACTATTCAGGGCCCCGCGGCCGACGACGACGGCGTGCGCGCGCGAAGAAAAAACGAATGTGTCCCGCATGGTATTATTTGACAGGGATGATGGCCCTGGCAGGTGCGCAACCGTTGTCGCAGAAGTTCGAAAAAGTTGCTCGCAAAAGCCCGTTTGACAGAAATGTTTAAAAAGTGTTGGGTTTCCTACGAATCCGCAAGAGCGCGCGGGATGAGATTTTGACAATTTTTGTTGAAAAACCATTGGTTTTTTGATGTTTTTATGTTAAAATCGCTGCGAACACTAAGGTTTTGGAAGGATTTCGTCTTGCGCGCGCGAATGTCCACTTTACCTTATTTTTTGCAAGGGATTCTTGAAATTTGATTATATTAGAACAAGAAATGTCATTTTCTATTGTTTTTTGCAAGGGAAAGCGGATTACAACAAAACAACCGGATCCTGTACACACCCTCTTTTCTGAGGCTTCCTCACGAAAATGATGAAAATGTAGCTGCGGCCTAGGCGGCGCAGGGGGGGCGCGCACCAGGGGGCCCAACAATAATTATTCTTTAGAATAAATAATGTTCAACAACAACAACAACAACAACAACAACAACAACAACAATCATTTTACCCGAACGCTCAGTGTTCTCCCCAGTGCCAGGGTTTTCATGCGACGCCAGCCAATACCCCCACTTCGTGGGGGGGCAATGCAAGCTCTACCAAACATCCACACGACTCTCGGGAACCACCCACACCCAGCTTCCCGCCCTATGACGTCAGGACACTTCACTTCGTGGCGCGCGGACGATCGTGGATACTACACTGGCGTGGAGTACACACCCGCAGAGGTTGATCACTTGTTTGGGCCCCGCATGTGCCCCGCATGGTGCATTTGTTGCGCATGACATACATAGTACAGAGAGACAGAGAGAGAGAGAGAGAGAGAGAGAGCGGGTGGAAATGTTGAAAAGTCGTGCAGGTGTTTTTCGAGGACCTACGGTGCGATTCGTGTGATTTTATGATGCGCGGTGCTAAAATTCTTAAAAACCCAATGGTTTTTGGAGATTTCGGCGTGCGCGCGCGAAGAAAAAACGAATGTGTCCCGCATGGTATTATTTGACATGGATGATGGCCCTGGCAGGTGCGCAACCGTTGTCGCAGAAGTTCGAAAAAGTTGCTCGCAAAAGCCCGTTTGACAGAATTGTTTAAAAAGTGTTGGTTTTCCTACGAATCCGCAAGAGCGCGCGGAAGGACATTTTGACAATTTTTTCTTAAAAAACCATTGGGTTTTTGATGTTTTTATGTTAAAATCGCTACGAAACCTAAGGTTTTGGAAGGATTTCGTCTTGCGCGCACGAATGTCCACTTTACCTTATTTTTTGCAAGGGATTCTTGCAATTTGATCAAGTAAGAACAAGAATTTTCATTTTATAGTGTTTTTTGCAAGGGAAAACGGATTACAACAAAACAACCGGATCCGGACACAATCCACTTTTCTGAAGCTTTCGCTAGAAAATGAAGGAAATGAGGCTGCGGCCTAGGTTTTGGAGGGGGGTCGCGCACCAGGGGTCTCAACAATAATATTTCTTTAGAAGTAATAATGTTCAACAGCAACAACAACAGCAACAGCAACAGCAACAGCAACAACAAAAACCACAACAATAACAACAACAATACTTAAAACAAAAACAACAACAGCAACAGCAACAGAAACAACCAAAACCAAAAACGTCCAGGACTGCATCGGGCCGCCTGCCGCCCCTCCTCCTCCTCCTCCTCCTCCTCCTCCTCCTCCTCCTCCTCCTCCTCCTCCTCCCCGAAAGTCTGGCAACCCGACCCGTTCGAGGAGTGGGCCCCCGGACCTCTGGACGCCCTCGCCAGGGCCAGATATCCGTCGCGTTTATTAGGGGAACAAAAAAAAACATAAACGTAAAAACTCGGAGGTCCGCGTGTATTAGGGGAACAAAAAGGTCCGCCGCCCCTGGCGCGCGGAGCGCGCCAGGGAGGGGGGTCCAGCGCCGATCCGAGAAATCCGCGCGGACCTCCGAGTTGTTATGTTTATGTCACTTTTTGTTCCCCTATTTATAGACGAGAGCGTTCCCCTGCTCGCAAAGTAGCTACTCGCAAATCGCCTGGATCCGCCGCAGGGGATCTGCGATAAGTTACATCGAGGCAGGCGTGTGTTTTTCGGGCCTTTGCGAGTAGGCACTTAGCGAGTAGTGGAACGCGCCCGGGGGGTTTAGAGCTGCGTGCGGATTTCTCGGATCGGCGCTGGGGCCCTCATGCGGCGCCTCCGGCGCCGCCCCCAACGCGCTCCGCCTCTGCGCGCCAGGGAAGAGCGTCCAGCGCCGATCCGAGGAATCCGCGCGAACCTCCGTAAGTGCATGTGTTTGTGTCGTGGCTTGCTCCCCGACGCATGGCTCTTTGACGGCCCCGCGGCCTGGAACCGGCCTCCAATCGGCGGTGGACAAACCTCCCTTTAGTAGACCTCGCCTTAGTGAAAACGGCCTGGGACCGAAACCGACGGACCTGGACCCGCAAAAATGACGGCCGCGACGCCCTCCCGCGAACCGAAAACGGCCAACTCCTGAATCGACGTGTCAGGGTAGGAGGTCTGTCCACCCCCGATCCGAATTCCAGAAATGGCGACCAACCGGCCGCCTCGTCTTCGTCGAGGCGCTGGATGACCCCGACCCGCGGCCGTGCGCCTGCGGTGCTGGGTCAGCCACCGCTCCGCGCAGGCCTGGTGGAAGGCGTGCCGGCACCTCGGCGGACCGCAAGAGAAGTTGGAGGAGACAGCGGAGCTCTGGAGGAGGAGGAGGAGGAGGAGGAGGAGGAGGAGGAGGAGGAGGAGCACGAGAAGGAGGATGAGGAGGAGGAGGAGGAGGAGGAGGAGGAGGAGGAGTTGAAGTTGAAGGTTAGGAATCCCGTCGATGACGCTACCCTGCAGCATGGCGGTGCTGACCGCATGAAGAAGAAGAAGAAGAAGAAGAAGAAGAAGATAGTGAGAGAGACAGCCGAACTCCGCATTCGACTCTCAAGAACTGGGTCAGCCAGGGTGTCCCCCAAAACAGAAGTTTCCTGCAATCTGTGCGGCGCAATCTAGGTGATGCAATCAATGCGGTGCAATTTATGCCGCGCAAGACAATGCAAAGCAACACAAAGCAATGCACAGCAACGAAGCATTGCAAAGCCTTGCAGACAAATACACAAATACCATGCAACGCAAAGCAGTGCAAAGCAGTGCGAAGCAGTGCGAAGCAGTGCAAAGCAGTGCGAAGCAGTGCAGAGCAGTGCAAAGCAGCGTAGAGCAGTGCCGAGCAGCGCAAAGCAATCCCAGCGGCGGCGGCGGCGGGCGGCGACGGGCGGCCACAGGCCGGCCCGACCGGCACCGGGGACCTCTTGCCGGCGGCGACGGGGCGGCGACGGGCGGCGACGGCGACCATATGGCTGTCAGACCGCCGCACGGGCCCAGCTCCCTTAGAGGAGGGGCCAGGAGCCCCAGCACTGTTTGGGGCGGCGATAGCCGCGACGGCGACCACACAGCTGCCAGACCGCCGCACGGGCCCAGTTCCCTGGAGGAGGGGCAGGAAGCCCCAGCACTGTCTGGGGGAAGCTCTGGCGGCGATCCAGCTCCCTGGCGGTGCGCACACCATCGAGGGAAGAAGCACGATGTCTAGAGGAACAACGAGGAGGAGGATGAGGAGGAGGAGGAGGACGACGACGACAGCGACGGCGACGAGGAAGAGGAGGAAGCACGATATCCTTCTTCTCCTCCTCCTCCTCCTTCTCACCTTCCTCCTCCTCCTCCTCCTCCTCCTCCTCCTCCTCCTCCTCCTCCTCCTCCTCCTCCTCCTCCTCCTCCTCCTCCTCCCACTACTCCCACTCCTAGAGACACATCGGCAACACTTCTGCCACGGTCACACTTTCTGAACGCAGGAAAGCTGGAATGTTGAGAACCCGATGGCCCTGCCACACTTTCTGGACCTAGGACAACTGACAGAGTAAGAATCCAATGCACATACCACCCTTTCTGGACCTAGGACAACTGGAACTGTGAAAGTCTTCCGCCCCTGCCACACTTTTTAGACTTAGGACAGCTGGAATGATGCGGATCCGACGCCCCTGCCACACTTGGTGGACCAAGGACAGCTGGCCGATGAAAATCCGATGCCCCTGCCACAATTCCTGGATCTATAGCGGCCGGAATGGTGAGAAGCCGATGACCCTGCCACACTTTCTGGCCCGACGACAGCTGGAATGTTGAGAATCCAGTGGCACTCCCACACTTTCTGGACCTAGGACAGCTGGCAGGATAAGAATCCACTGCACATGCCACCTTGTCTGGACCTAGGACAACTGGAACTGTGAGTCGCCCGCCCGTGCCACACTTTCTAGACCTAGGACAGCTGGAATGGTGAAAATCCGATGCCCATGCCAAGCTTTCTGGCAGTAGGGCAGCTGGAACGATGAAAATCCGATACCCCTGCCACACTTTCTGGATCCATGGCAGCTGAAATAGTGAGAAGCCGATGGCCATGCCACACTTTCTGGATCCATGATGGCTGGAATGGTGAGGATCCGATGCCCGTGCCACACTTTCTGGACCGAGGACAACTGGAACGGTGAAAATCCGATGCCCCTGCCACACTTTCTGGATCCATGGCAGCTGGAATGGTGAAAATCCGATGGCCCTGCCACGCTCTGGCCCTGGCATAGCTGTAATGGTGAGGATGTCCATGCAACATTTTCTGGACCTACAACGACTGAAGTCGAGCCATAACACCTCCGTGAATTTCATGTATGGCACACGTTCTGGACCTGCGACGGCTGAAATCCAGCCAGAACATTACGATGAGTCTCGTGTCAAGATCTGCGAAGGCTGAAATCGTGCCAGAACGCTCGAATCCCCCCTGTGGAGATTCTGGAGGAACGAATCTTTGAATTGAAATCGAACCAGAACACCATAGTGGGTCTCACTTCTGGACCAAATCGAGCCAGAGCACCATCGTGAGTCTACTTTCTGGATATAGGAGAGCTGAAATCGAGCCAGAACACAACAGTGTGAGCTTAACTTCTGGACCAGATCGGGCTAGAACAGAGTGAGCCTGGATCTGCGAAGGCTGGAATGCAGGAGGCAAAACCTCGGGATCAGGCGGTGCCGTAGTCGACGTACTTGCAAAGGCGCGCCTTTTCCAGGAACCCGGTGGCGAAGTACCGGCAGAAGCCAAACCGCGCTTCAAGACACCAGGGAGTCGATCCTGGACCGCCGCCGGACCCGTGCGAGGCCTCCTCCCCCCTTGTGGAGAGTGACTGGGGCCTTGACCTCTTGTATCAAGTCGGGCCTGTCCCTCCACAGGGGGTATACTCAAAAATAGTCCCAAAAAAAATTAGCCTGGCGAAGCACCCAACCATATGCACTTGTGGGTATCGCATTCGGGGGAGCCCCGTATGGGGCCACGAAACGCTGTGCTGGGTGTGGCGGACGCATGCGCCCCCCCCCACTGGGGCCTTCGGTGGAGCTCCTTGTGGGGCCACGAAACGCTGTGCTGGGTGTGGCGGACGCATGCGCCCCCCCCACTGGGGCCTTCGGTGGAGCTCCCTATGGGGCCACGAAGCGCTGTGCTGGGCGTGGCGGACGCATGCGCCCCCCCCCCACTGGGACTGGAGCTCCCTATGGGGCCACGAAACGCTGTGCTGGGTGTGGCGGACGCATGCGCCCCCCCCCCCCACTGGGGCCTTCGGTGGAGCTATGGGGCCACGAAACGCTGTGCTGGGTGTGGCGGACGCATGCGCACCCCTCGACTGGGGCCTTCGGTGGAGCTCCATATGGGGCCACGAAACGCTGTGCTGGGTGTGGCGGACGCACGCGCCCCGTCTGAGGCCTTCGGTGGCGCTCCCTATGGGGCCACGAAACGCCGTGCTGGGTGCGGCGGACGCATGCGCCCCCCTCCACTGGGCCTTCGGTGGAGCTCCCTATGGGGCCACGAAACCTATGGCGGACGCATGCGGCCACTGGGGCCTTCGGTGGAGATGGGGCCACGAAACGCGTGCTGGGTGTGGCGGACGCATGCGCCCCCCTCCACTGCGGCCTTCGGTGGAGCTCCCGCATGGCGGACGCATGCGCCCCCCCCACTGGGGCCTTCGGTGGAGCTCCCTGTGGGGCCACGAAACGCTGCGCTGGGTGTGGCGGACACATGCGCCACCCCCACTGGGGCCTTCGGTGGAGCTCCCTATGGGGCCACGAACGCTGTGCTGGGAGTGGCGGACGCATGCGCCCCCCCCCCCCACTGGGACTGGAGCTCCCTATGGGGCCACGAAACGCTGTGCTGGATGTGGCGGACGCATGCGCCCCCCCCCCACTGGGGCCTTCGGTGGAGCTCCCTATGGGGCCACGAAACGCTGTGCTGGGAGTGGCGGACGCATGCGCCCCCCTCGACTGGGGCCTTCGATGGAGCTCCATATGGGGCCACGAGACGCTGTGCTGGGTGTGGCGGACGCACGCGCCCCCTCTGAGGCCTTCGGTGGCGCTCCCTATGGGGCCACGACACACTGTGCTGGGTGCGGCGGACGCATGCGCACCCCCCCACACTGGGGCCTTCGGTGGAGTTCCCTATGGGGCCACGAAACGCCGTGCTGGGTGTGGCGGACGCATGCGCCCCCCTCCACTGCGGCCTTCGGTGGAGCTCCCTATGGGGCCACGAAACGCCGTGTTGGGTGGGTGTGGCGGACGCATGCGCCACCCTCCACTGGGACCTTCGGTGGAGCTCCCTCTGGGGCCACGAAACGCTGTGCTGGGTGTGGCGGACGCATGCGCCCCCCCCACTGGGGCCTTCGGTGGAGCTCCCTGTGGGGCCACGAAACGCTGCGCTGGGTGTGGCGGACACATGCGCCACCCTCCACTGGGGCCTTCGGTGGAGCTCCCTATGGGGCCACGAAACGCTGTGCTGGGAGTGGCGGACGCATGCGCCCCCCTCGACTGGGACCTTCGGTGGAGTTCCCTATGGGGCCACGAAACGCTGTGCTGGGTGTGGCGGACGCATGCGCCCCCCCCCCCCCCCCCCCAGTGGAGCCTTCGGTGGAGCTCCCTATGGGGCCACGAAACGCTGCGCTGGGTGTGGCGGACGCATGCTGGCTGTGCCACTGGGACCTTCGGTGGAGCTCCCTATGGGGCTACGAAACGTGTGAGAGGTGTGCCGAGAGCAAAGGCAAGGAGGGGGAGGAGGGAGGAGGGGGAGGAGGGAGGAGGGAGGAGGGAGGAGGGGGAGGAGGAAGGAAGGAAGGAGGAGAGACGCGGGGCACCGTCTCTTCAAAACGAGGACCCAACACCACAAAATGGTTGGGAAATAGTCTGAGGACTATTTTTGTTAGTATTTTGGGGCATCCTTTGAGCACTGTTTGAAATTTTTTAAATTTTCGTCCAACATCCCCCTGTAGGGGGAGAGGCCCGACCTAACTCCTGTGGAACCCTGTGGCGAAACGCTACCAGGGACCCGTGCCGTCGGGAATCTAGGCAGACCCTCCAGGCCCTCGGCCACGAAGCTTCTGCGGCCACGAGGCTCCCGTACCAGCGAGTCGACGCCAAATCTACGCCAAAGCGACGCCAGATCGGCGATGCCCCATCGACTGCCAGGCGCTGAGCGGTGCCAGCGCGCTCGAAAGACAGACCTGTGCGAGACAGGGCTCCCAGGAAGGGCTGCCCGGCGAGAGAGAGCGGCGAGGGAGCCCGAGGGCGGAACGGCAGCCGCATCAGGTGCTCGTGGGGCTCCACGTCCTCGAAGCAGATCCTGCGAGGGCTCCGGTCGGGGGTCTTCTGACCCGGGTCAATCCCGCCCCGGGCCAGTCGGACAGGATCCTGCCAGATCCTGCACCCAAACCCGGGTCGATGCGCGAAGGCTCCTGCAGGACCCTGCAGGGTCCTGCACCCCCAAGCCCGGGTCAGCGCGGCCCTGGCCCTGCGGGGTCCTGCGAGAGCTGGCGCCCCGGCTGCCCCCCGTCTGCATCGACCCCCGCCTCTCTTCCCGCCCCGATCCGGCACGGGAGGGCACCGCCTGGGGGGATCGGGAGCGGCCAAGAGGGGGATGTCCAAGAGGGGGAGGGTGCAAATCATGACCAGCGGCATGTGCGCGGCCCAGCGGGGGGGCCAGGGACGTCATGAACTGAGAAGAGCCGCCCTGAAATCTGAGGAGATCTCATGGCCCCCGCCATGAGATCCACCCCCCCTAGTCATCAGCCCCCTCTTTCCCGCCCCGAGCCGGCACGCGAGGGCATCCCCAAGGGGGGGGGAGGGCCGCGCCCTGGGCGGCGGGCGCCGCCGGAAAAGCACGGGGCGGCCGGCGCGTCGCCGCGCGGGGCCCCTCTGGGCGGCGGGCACCTCCCCCGGAGAGCCAAGCGCCGCCGTCTTTTCATCGCGCCGGGCGTGCTCGCTCGGCGCTTCGGGCCCCGGGGGCCAGCACGGATCGGTCGGGCTCGAAAAATGTCGCAGAGGGATGGGTTCTACAGGGCAGTTTCTAATACATAGAATATATATATATATATATATATATATATATATATAACGGTGTGTAATACATGGTTAATGTATGAATAAATTCATGCATGAACTCATCGTTGTTTTAAATACTAAATCCCTGCATTTTTGTAATACATGATCCGCACGCGGAGCATGCATTACAAACGACACTGTACGGCTTCGGTCGTGGTTTGTCGCGATGCTGCATGTCTGTTTCGAGGCGTCGGATCTCGGGGTCGGAGGCCCTCAGGGCCGTCAACAGGACGGCTCGAGGTGAAGAGCGGAGCCAGATGAACGGATCCAAAGGGCCAGGGACACACACACACACACACACCGAAAGAGATCGCAGCGCCGTATGTCTGAGACTGTTCAAATCCGACCCCAGGGCTTTCTCGAGGTATGGCCGAGACCATACGTGATGCAATATCTCTGGATACACACGCCTAGGGACAGGTTCCGTCACTCATTATCGATGCGTGGCCGTATCATAACATGGAGCTATGAATGAACGCCCTCCCAATGGATAGACCCCCCCATCGGCCACTTGCTGCGACTTTGAGGATGTGGCCTGGTGTCGACTGGACACTCCACTTCGCGCCTCGCGGCACGGTTCCGGATAATCTGCCACAGCCTCCAGTACTTCTCTGATGATCGCCTCATCCTTCCAGATGGGTTTGGGTGCCCTTCCATTCTAATTAAGCGACCTTGGCCAAGAGGTTCCCTCCCCCACCGCGGCCTCCTCCCCCTTCCCGCTCACGTCAGAAATCAACCCCTCGACCTCTCCCAGGGTGTGTTCCAACCAAATCCCACAAGCCCTCTGGGCGACAGGTAATCTAACGAGATCTTCCACAATTCCTTTTTCCCTTTCGGGGAGGGGTTTACGCCTCCCCCTACCCCCTCCCCTGGACCTGGACGGGGGGGTCCGCGAGGGGTTGGAGCGTCCAAGATGGCCCAAGATGGCCCCGATGCTCCAAGATGGCCTCCAAGACGGCTTAAGACAGCCGAAGATGCTTCAAGCCAGCTTCCGACATGCCTCCAAGAGGCCCCACGAGGGCCACAAGACGGTTCCAGGTGCCCTCAAGCACCCCGCAGAACCTCCCCGAAAAGCCAAAATCCTTCAACGAATCTTCTGAAAATCAACCAGGTTTGCCTTCTCGCCTTTTCGCTTCCGATGCGCTTCCGAGGCCTCAAGATGGCCGCAAAATGACCCAAGAAGGCCTCTGAGAGGGGCCCAAGAGGCCCCCAAGTCGGCCCCACGAGCGCCCAAGAGCGCCCCCAGAGGGCCCCGAGAGCGCCCCACGAGACGGCTGTGAGGGCCTCAGACGGGGGACGGAGAGAAAGGAACCCCCTCTTTTGATCGATCACCTCCAAAATGGCCCAAAGAGGGCCTCAAGGGCTTCCAAGAGAGACCCAGGAGGGCCCCAAGAGAGCACCAAGAGGGCCCCAAGAGGGCCCGATGACGGCCCCCGAAGCGCCCAAGAGCGTTCCAAGAGGGCCCCAAGAAGCGGTTCGCGGGTTCCTGAAAAGGGGAGCTGAGTTGGCGACCCCCCCCATCCTTCGATCGATGGCCTCCAAGATGGTCCCAAGAGGCGTTTCAAAACAACCAAGAGGGCTCCAAGGGGGCCCCAAAGCCCCCAGAGAGCACCAGCAGCAGCAGCAGCAGCAGCAGCAGCCGCAAGAATACCTCAAGATGGTTCCGTGAGTCCTCGTCGTCCTCGTCCGCGACGTCTTCATCCTAGTCCTCGTCCTCCCCGTCATCCTCCTCAGGGCCATTGTTTGCCACCCCTCACGAGAATCGTGGTTCCCGAAGGGGGGGGGGGGGGGGCTAAATCGAGCACCCCCCCCCTGGTGACCGACCGCGCCCAAGATGGCCTCAAGCGGCCCTCCATGGCTCCCCAGAAGGCCCGAAGAGGGTTCCACGAGCGCCCCAGGAGGCCACAATAGTGTGATTCCCGCTCACTCCCCGTGCTTTCCCTGCTCCTTCCCTGCTTCCCCGCTCTATCTCTCACGCCCGCCTTGTCGCCGCCTTTTTGTTTCAAACTAGGGCCCTTGGCCTTAGAGCTACGCAGAGAGCTTCGCCGCGCGATTCCTCGACAAACGATATCAGCGATATCCATATCACAGTGGTAGCGGAGCGAGGCTCGCTATCCCGGCCCGCGGGGCCGTATACCCAAGACGACGCCCGCGACGTCGCACTCCATATTGGAATCGAGGCCCAGCGGCCTCCTCGCGCTGTTGCTCAGCGCCTACGCCTAGCGCCTACGCCAGCGTCAGCGACGCCAGCATCTACGCCAGCGTCAGCGACGCCAGCACCAACGCCAGCGTCAGCGACGCCAGCGACTACGCCTAATACGCCTACATCCCTGCCAGCTCCAACGCCAGCGTCAGCGACGCCAGCAACCCCATCTTCTTTCCCACCCTCAGCAGCGACGACAGCTACTTCTCCTAAGCCTGTGTCAGCGACGCGGCATACTTCCTCTACGACGGTGTCAGCGACGCCGCATATTTCTCCTACTACGAAGGTGTCAGCGACGCCACAGACTTCTCCTACGACGGTGTCAGCGACGCCACATACTTCTCCTACGACGGTGTCAGCGACGCCACATACTTCTCCTACTACGACGGTGTCAGCGACGCCATATACTTCTTCTACGACGGTGTCAGCGACGCCACATACTTCATCTACGACGGTGTCAAGATGACGGAGTTCACGCACAACCAGTCAGTGATACCAAGCTGGAATGGAGATCCAGCGAAATGGCGAGATTACAAACAGGAGGTAAAATTGTGGAAGCTCAGTGAGAACTTGGAAGTGACACAAAGTTTGGCATCGAAGTTAGTCCTGCGTTTGACGGGTACAGCCAGGTCGGCTGCTCTCAATATGACGGAGCAGGAGCCCCACCCGCCGCCGGACGACGGCATCGAGGATGCGAACGAGAAGAAGCGCGATCGCAACCAGAAGGGCATCGAGAACGCGCTAATGCACCTCGAGGCAAACCTAGGCCAGCAGAAGCCGGTGCAGAAGGGAGAGACGCTAGAAAAGTTCTTCGAGTCGACTCAGCACCATCGCCGCCGTGGAGAACGCATGACGGATTGGCTCGTGCGATTCGAGGCGGGACTACAGCAACTACGTGAGAATGAGGTCGACCTCACTACGCTTGACGACGTGGCCGGCTGGTTCCTGCTACGCAAGGCTGGGCTCACGGCCGAGCGCCGCGAGCGCGTCGTGGGCAACTTGCCGGACGAGCACTACTCATTTCAGCGCATCAGGGGCCTGCTGGTGCGCATGTTCCCCGATATCCATACATCTGAACGACACACAAGCTTGCCGTCACGATCGTGGCCGCAGCGATCAAACAGTCGTTGGCAGCGCTCACCGCCAAGCCGAGCACGTTCAGCCAACATCGCTGACAAGCCAGAAGACGAGCATGAGGACTCGGAGGACGGCGACGACAACGACACGGAGGCAGACGTCCAGGACATCGCGCGCCAGGAGCTCGAGGCTTTCAGCGCCGAGCTGGAGCAGTCCAATTACGACCTCGGCGAGGTGTTCGATCGGGACGACTCTGCCAAGGTGGAGGCTGCCGCGGCGGAGCTCGCCGCGATTCCCGAGGCCATGGCGACCATACGGTCGGCCCGGGAGGCTATCAAGGGCCGCGGGAAGGCTTCGCCCAAGCGCCGACCCGCGGGCAAGCTACAAGGCCGCGTGGACCAGCGCAAGAAGAACTCCAAGTGCTGGGACTGCGGCGAGGCGGGGCACTGGACCGGTGACAAGGAGTGCCCGACACCAGGCGCTCGAAAGTTCGCCCCAAATTCTAAGCAAAAGGGCGGAGGACGAGGCGGCGGAGGTCGCTCGCACCGCCAGGCCAACATCACCGAGCAGGTCCACGACCAGAATCACGTGGAGTTCGGTGACGAAGAAGTAATTCTTCATCCAGAAGGTCCGATCACTCCGCCCCCCGAGACTCTGGTCTCTGAGCGCGTGGTACCAGATTTGCCCACCATAAACACCACCAACGCTGGCGAGAAGCCCAACGACGACGGCGTCGGCGTGATCGACACTGCCTGTCTCTTCTGCGTTGGCGGGCTCAGCTGGTACAAGCAGTACAAGGAGAAGCTCACCAAGATGGGTCTGGCCGACCAAATCCTGGAGGAGCCAGAGAACGAAGTCTACAGGTTCGGGAACGGCGGCACGCTCCCGAGCAAGCTGCGCGTCACAGCCCCACTCGTCCTGTGTGGACGCGCTGGTCGCATAATATTCAGCGTCGTGGACAG